ACATACACACAATGCACCCCTTGCACACAGAAAAACACACAGACACACATACACAAGCAATGCAACCGTTACACACAATGCATCCCTTACACACACAGAAACACACAATGCATTAATTACACACACTCAATGCACCCCTTACACACATTCAATGCATTCCATACATACACAGAAACACACCTTGCAGTCCTTACACATACAAACACAATTTCACACAATGCATTCCTTACACACATATCAGGACATCCCCTACACACTCCACCCCCTGTGAACAAACTCATTGGTGGAACATGAAGGTGAACCCTGGGACCCAGACCTTGAGCTGTGTAAAGGACCCCCAAAAAATGCAGCTGCTTCCCGTTCTCCCAGAACATTGATTTTTGTGACCACAGTTACAAACCGCCTCTAGAGAGCCTGTTCTGCACCAGACCAGTGGAGCTAGACTGCAGCTAGAGCCCATCATCATCCTCATCTGGTTGTAAGTAGGCAATCTAGTATATTATTCGTGGCACTAAGCTCTAATTTACCTCACATTAAAGAAACACTATAGTCCCCAGAACCACTTCAGCTTAATGTAGTGGTTCTGGTGTCTATAGCCTGTCCCTGCAGGCCTTGTAAACACGGTAATGTAAACACGGCGGCACTGTAGCACTGGCGTTAGTTAACATGGCAAATTATATGGCTGGGGCATTGTGATGTCACATGGGGGGCGGCAAACTTTACTTTTGCCTTGGGCGGCAAAAATCCTTGTACCGGCCCTGGCTGGAGGGGGCTGTGTGAGCTGTGGCCGCACAGTGTCCCATGGTAGTTAGGGTACCGTGCGGCCAGTACAGCTCACTCAAGCAAACAGCTGATAAACTGGCCGCACGGAGGAAATGTGTATGTGTGACTGTCTGCCTGTGACTGTGTGTGACTGTCTGTCTGTAACTGAGTGTGTGACTGTGTCTGTAACTGAGTGTGTGACTGTGTCTGTAACTGAGTGTGTGACTGTCTGCCTGTAAATGTGTGTGTGGGGCTGCAGGGATTTAGTAGAAGGGGGTGGGGGTTTTGTATTGGGACAGGAGTCTTTATAAGGGGGGATAAGCAGGGGATTTGTGGAAGGGGGTTGCGGGGTTTTGTAGATGGGGCAGTACAGGATTTGTAGAAGGGGCAGGACAGAGGTTTTGTAGGAGGGGCAGGGCAGGACAAGGGTTTTGTAGGAGGGGCTGACAGCAGTTTTGCAAAGTTTACAAATTGTAAAAATAAAAGAAATAAAACCTTTAACATTTTTTACAGGTTTTTTTTTTTTGGTGGGGGGGGGGTGCCAAGCACAGGATCCGCCCCGGGTGCCAAATGCTCTAGGTACGCCCCTGAGCATATCTAATGGCTAGTGTAGGAACTCACCTATTGAGGCTTGCCTTGACGTGGCAGGTGAGCTTATATATTCAAATGGCCATTAGAATAAAACTAAAGAGCCTCCATTTTTGTTTATATGCACATGGGGATTTAGGCCAGAGCGCAGGTAACATTTTCTTTGTTTTTATTAAGTCTCAGGAAGTGTCTGAATTGTCAAGAATAGGCCCTTTTCAGCATGACAAATTTTTAAGAACTGATTGAGCTGAAATCAAACTATGCCCATTAAGAAGACTCAATGTCTCTGGACTTTTATAGACAGATATATAAATCGTAAAAATATCCAGAAAATTCAAACTATGCTTTGGACAATGTTTGGGTTGACTTGGCTCTGTGTAAGCACTTTTATGAAGCTACTCAAATCCAAGCTGAGAGCCATGTTAACTGGAATTAAGATGTACCCTGACTGAATAAACTCCAGAGTTTCCAAAAATTTAAGTCAGTTAGTTACCAGTACTCTTACTAGATTTTGTAACTAGATTGTGCTGTTTTAATTGGCTGAACTTCTTTTAAATGGATTGTGGACTGACTTTGTTTTACTATATACATTGTTTTGTGTTGTTATTTATATGATTAAAAAATGGTTTGTCGACAGCTTGCATTATTGCCAAATTAAACCAGTATTAACATGCATTACAAAGCTAAAAGGCAATATTTTCTTTAGTAGAAAAATAAGTGCAGCCCACTCCCACATACATTTCTGATGAAGTGACCCACTACAGAAAAAACTTGGACACCCATGGCCTATGCTCTTATGTTACATATAACTAAAGTATTTTTCAGTAATCACTATTACTTTAAGGCAATCCCTCACTTACACATGTAGGTTGTATATGTACTTATATGAACTTTTCATACAGGTTCCCACCTTCTCTTAACAGCTTTCTCACAGTGAGGTAGGCAATGTTGTGGTCAGGTGCATGCTCAGTCACATTGTTAGCTTCATTCTTAAAACATGAATAGAGCAATTCAGCTGATGTGATTTTTTCTGAATGCAGCTACAGAAATGATAGCTTATCAGGATGCCCAATGCTCTGATTCCTACACTGAAGATTATGTTGCTATGGTGCTTGGAGAGCTCCCCTTTAAGTCATTTAAATCTAGATATACCGAACAGAAGAAGCAGCATACAGTTTATGCTACTTCCTACAATCATTTACATACTTCCAGATGCACATTATATACACTGAACAAAATGGAATGTCCACCAGAGCTGTTGCCTGTGAATTGAAAATTAATTTCTCTACCATATGTCATCTCCAAAGGCTTTTCAGAGAATTTGGCAGTACATCCAACCAGCCCAGGACCTCCACATCCAGCATCTTCACCTCCAAATTGTCTGAGACCAGCCACCCGGACAGCTACTGCAACAATCGGTTTGCATAACCAAATAATTTCTGCACAAACTGTAAGAAACCATCTCAGGGAAGCTCATCTGCATGCTCGTCATCCTCATCGGGGTCTCGACCTGACTGCAGTTCGTCGTCATAACCGACTTGAGTGGGCAAATGCTCACATTCAATGGCGTCTGGCACTTTGGAGAGGTGTTCTCTTCACGGATGAATCCTGGTTTTCACTGTACAGGGCAGATGGCAGGCAGTGTGTATGGCTTTGTGTGGGTGAGCGGTTTGCTGATGTCAACGTTGTGGATCGAGTGGCCCATGGTGGCGGTGGGGTTATGATATGGGCAGGCATATGTTATGGTCAGTGAACATAGGTGCATTTTATTGATGGCATTTTGAATGCACAGAGATACCACGACGAGATGCTGAGGCCAATTGTTGTGCCATTCATCCATGACCATCACCTCATGTTGCAGCATGATAACGCACGGCCCCATGTTGCAAGGATCTGTACACAATTCCTGGAAGCTGAAAACATCCCAGTTCTTGCATGGCCAGCATACTCACCGGATATGTCACCCATTGAGCATGTTTGGGATGCTCTGGATTGTCGTATATGAAAGTGTGTTCCAGGTCCTGCCAATATCCAGCAACTTCGCACAGCCATTGAAGAGGAGTGGACCAACATTCCACAGGCCACAATCAAAAACCTGATCAACTCTATGCAGAGGAGATGTGTTGCACTGCATGAGGCAAATGGTGGTCACACCAGATATTGACTGTTCCCCCACCCCCACCCAGACGCACCCAATAGAGTAAAACTGCACATTTTAGAGTGGCCTTTTATTGTGGCCAGCCTAAGGCACACCTGTGCAATAATCATGCTGTCTAATCAGCATCTTCATATTCCACACCTGTGAGGTGGATGGATTCTCGACAAAGGAGAAGTGCTCACTAACAAAGATTTAGACATATTTGTGAACAATATTCGAGAAAAATAGGCCTTTTGTGTACATAGAAAAAGTCTTAGATCTTTGAGTTCAGCTCATGAAAAATGGGGGCAAAAACAAAAGTGTTGCGTTTATAATTTTGTTCAATGTAAGTACATATAAAAAATAATGTATTGCTTTTTATGTGTCTAGCACTTTAAAGTTCTGCAGTATAGTGTTTTTCATTTTCTGAATTGTGTTAGTTTACCTTCTGCTAAATGTAACTTGATCTCATATGGATTTTAGTCTTCACATCTTTTATAATGAAATATAAAGTAACATTCAGTAAGTAGGATGGATTCTCTTTTTTTTTTATTCCTTATTTTTGTTGTGCTTAAGCATAACAGAAAATGTACAGTATACATCGGAAAAGAAAAAATGCAATACAATGCTCTATTAAGGCATAGAAGTCTATATATAGGTCAGCACATTTTAAAGTTGTGTTCGGGGCAGCATTAATTATGATATGAAGTAAGATTGTTGTTAGCAAACCTGTGATAGAAAAAAGTCGGTTGAGTTTTGTCGAAACCGATGTATGCTGTAGGCCAGTAAAAGTAAAGTGGGCCTACACTAGAAGAGTATGATAAATAAAGGGACTGGAGGGTGGGGCAGCAGCTCGTCAGACCAATCACGGTAGGGTATGGAAGGTGGGTGTCCCTTTTTTTTTTTTTTTTTTTATTGAATTTTTCAAATTAAATGGGGTACAGAAGAAAAGGGGGTGGGGGTATAAAATAGGTAATTACACAGTTTCATACATTACAAATTACTAATACATTCTTAAATCGTTTAGTTACAGATGAGTCAGTGTCTTTACAACTCAATATTCTTACGGTTTAACAAGGATCCATGTACTCCAACTAAACATCCATGTATGTGGACACATGTATGTACTTCTGCCTTTGGTTCCTTATATTCCTATACACCATTTTTATGTATATTCTCATGTGCATGGTATTGGTGGGTTTGGCGTATCAGGTATGTCCTCCTATTTTGGGTTTCTTTCTATATTTAGCTAAGCTGAACCATTTATGGGTATCTTGCCTGGTGGTATCGTGCCTGGTGTTATGCAAGATAACATACCTCTCTCTTTATTCTTTTGGATC